GGCCGCAAATTGGTTGACAAAGATATTATCGACGTATCGGAAATGCCTATTCCCCCTCCTTCAAATGTAGAAACGCGAAACTTTCAAATATGGTTAAAAGAAACACAACTCTACCCACCTGCCAAGTTTCATCTTTTTATTTCTCATATTTGTATGGATTTTCAAGCTTTTGACAGCTACGAGTTAGTTCAGTGTCACCGCGCTGTGTTACGGTACCAGAACTCCTGTCTTGTGACAGCGTGAATTGAAATTGCAAGATGGTCCGTTGGACACAAAATGGCGTCCGATATCCGCAGAACGTTTAGTGACGTCATAGCAAACAAAAACAAATCTTACAGAGCTAACAGAAATATTTGAAATAAATAAAAGTAATAGCCTTCTGGAGAAAAATTTCATCTTCAACCACTGAAAATTTCAAAGCAATTAGTCCAGTAATCAAAGAGAAAAGCGACTTTTTAAAAACGTGTCAAAGAACAAGAACAAGAACAAGAACAAGAACAAGAACAACATAATATTGAAACGATCGTTATGTCCACTACGTGTCCAATAAGCCAAAAATAAGGACAAACCTTAGAAATAAGGACGGTATGGAATCCCTGCTTATATATATATATAAGATGCCCAAGCATCCTTTGTTTATTCGCTCACAAATAAGTAATGTGTCTAAGCGACAATTTAGATTTAATCAAAGTCGCTCTGTTTTTTGCGGGACATAGACTTTTTGTCACCTTTAATCATCTTTTGAGCCTAAAATACTATATTCACGAAGAAACAACATATCCCAATGCGTTGTACACTTTCATGCGTCGGGGATGAATAGCCGATAGTATCGCAAAATTTTCTTCAACCCTTGTCAACCGCTTTCTACATGTCTGCAACAGGGTGGGAATAAGCCTATATCAACCTAGGTTAGGAGTCTTTGGTCACTTGTAACCTCTCGCACAATTTAGGAATCAAACCATCAATATGATATTAGAGGCATTCACAAATCCCCGAATATTACTTCCAATTTTTGCCGTTTATAGTATACCAATCTAATTGTGTTGCATAGTTTTTTCAATTGGTAGTTCGCATCGTAGAATCTCGAAATGTTGTTCAGAGAAGTGTATCCAGTGAGCTCTAAATAAAATTTAGTAGTTTTAAATGTCACAGTACAAACCTAATTAGATTAGCCGAAGGGGGTCAATCAAAGACTCTGAATATGGGTCGTAAACGGCTCCCAATGTTGCGCAACAAATTATATCAGGGCCAAGAAAATGGCACAGATGAATGAACAGTGTTGAATTGGAATAATGTAAATATGAATCAATTAATTGACTCCTAAAGGAATTCACAAATCTATCACTTCGAATATCCTTTTTCATTTTTGCTTTTTTTTCTCATTAAAGTTTGCCTGGCCTAACCTAACTGGTAGTGGGCAGTCTTCATAATTGGTTTTTAATAACACATATGCTTGCTCAGTGCCTTGTCAGGAGTAAACTGTTAATAGACTTAGAAGCAATGCTGTGTCGTGTCTTACAAGTCATAGTTCAAACTTAAAAGAGATTAGTTGAAACAAGTCAATGTAATTCTTCAAAGGCTCCAAACATGGCTTGTAAACAACTTTTAAAGTTACACAAAATTTTGTCTTGGCTCAATCTGGGAATCAATCTGATCTCATCAGCACCTAAAACGGTTACCCAAATATCAATTTTTGATTTTTTCTTTTTCAAAGTTTCCCTGGCCTAAAATAACAAGTAGTGAACAGTCTTCATAATTGGTTGTTAACAACACGGAATCTCGAGAGGTTGTTCAATGCCCTGTTACAAGTGAACTATAAACAAACACGAAACAATGTTGTGCTATGTTCTAAATATCATAGTCCCATCTTAAAAGAGATTAGTTGCAACGAGTCAATGTAATTCCGCAAAGACTCTAAACATGTCTCGCAAACAACTTTTAAAGTTGCGCAACATTTTTGGGGTCAAACATGTTACCACAAAGGAGCCAAACTTTCCCCGGGTCAAAGAAATAGTGTCGATGAAAATTTTTTGTCTTGGCACAATCTGGGAATCAATCTGATCTGAGAAGCACTTAAAAAACGGTCACCCGAATATCAATTTTCGACTTTTGCCTTTTTCTCTTTCAAAGTTACCCTGATCCAACGTAACTGATAGTGGACAGTCTTCATAATTGATTGTTAATGAAACGGAATCTGGAGGGCTCGTTCAGTACCTTGTTAGAAGTGAACTGTGAATAGTCTCAAAAGCAATGATGTGTTGTGTCTTACAAGTCATAGTTCAAAACTTCGAGGAGATTAGTTGAAACAAGTCAATGTAATTCTGCAAAGACCCGGAACTTGGCTTTTAAACAACTTTTGAATTTTCGCAACATTTTAAGGGCAAACTTGTTACTATAAAAGAGCCAAACATACTACACCAATCAATCAATTTAGTCTGAGATCTGTCGCTTCAAATATCAATGAACGATTTTGGCTTTTTTTTTTTCTTATTCGAAGTTTTCCCGGACCGACCTAATTGGTAGCTTACTGCACAAGATTCCTAATTGGTAATTTGTATCGTTTGCACCGAAGTTAGAAAGATTGTTCAGTGCCTTTTTAAAGTGGATTATAAATAAACACGAAACAATGTCGTGCTCTCAAATATCATAGTCCTAACTTAAGAGAGATTAGTTGAAACAAGTCAATGTAATTCCGAAAGCACTCCAAACATGGGCTGAAAACAACTCTTAAAGTTATGCAACATTTTTTGGGTCAAATATGTGGTTACAAGAAATCGAATTAACTCTGGGCCAAAGAAATGGCGTAGCTGATATGACCTTAGAGATATGCAATAGGTCATTGCACTCTTTCGGTTTCCGTCTCAATCTGCAATGCAATTAACCGCAGACGGTAAACATATTCTTACATATAGTTGATCAAGTTTTTGCCGAAGATAAAAAGATAGAAGATTCCTATTCCAGATTGTTATCAAACATGATTCATGAAAGTGGGTTAATAAAGATTTTAACGCAATCTTTGACCCGGAACGTCGATTTTGTATCTATAACCTAATTTAGAAAACTTGTCTCGAGGAAACTACTCGAAGAAAAAAGTAATCAGATGTATAAATAGATACAATGTAGGATCAGGCGTGGGCCTAAGGGAATATGCTCTTCAATAATGTGTTCGTTAAGACTTCTTCCATGGTGCAAAGACGATTGACCCATGCATTGATCACGCGTACCTCACGTGATTTTTCTTTCTGGAATTCGTTTTCAATTTGGTGGAAATAATGTTTAGTTTGTGACAGGTTCTGCCAGACGGAGCATCATATTAATTGTTTCCTGCTGAGCTTTCTAGAAAACGACTGTAAAGTATTGCTACAATGCAGTTTTTCGGTACTTGTAAAGTATATTAAATGTTAGGAGAATTACTTGGTTTGCTATGTGACTTCGCTAGGAATAATGGGTGATTCTAATAAGTCGTTCAAAATGATTTTAAGCGGCAATGTGCTCACTATTGGGCCAGGAATAGAGAGCATTATTCAACTAAAAATAATTACTGAGTCGGACTTTATGAAAAAAGACTGCTGCAACGTTTTTCTGCATTGGGAAGTTTTTCAGTATTTGAAAAGCGAAATTGAAAGTTTAAGAAAAACTTGGTGTTCTAAACGACTTTTCTGGAGATATTGGGATGATTCAAATAGGGTTTAAGTAGGCAGTGGGTTTAGGAACCGAAAACATTATTGCTTTATTTAGCATTTTTTTTAAACTTACACAAAAAGTACTTAACCAAAAAGAAATAGTGGAAATTGCCAATAATAAGATATCTAACTGATAAAAACTATGGCATAGGCACCGAGCATTCGGCATTAAAAAAAAGGAAATTGTTCCTCTAACTCAGGGGTTCCCAAACCGCGGCCCGCGGGCCGAATCCGGCCCTCGTAACGATTCAAAATGGCCCGCCGAGCTTGAGTGAAATAGTGTGCAAGTTAGTGCAACAGATTTTGCTTCACCTTTTTTCATTCTAGATAGCGCCAAGTGTTACGCCATTATCACACTTCAAGCACGTGTTTTTATCGTAACAATTTAACTAAAGCATTATCTCAATTATTCGTACCGGTATTATGATTACATAGGGCAGTAATTTAGTTATGAACCATAAGAGCTTAGACACGTCACGCGCTTTCAGGCGCTACACTCTTCCGGCCCGCGAACATCCCTCCGATTCAAGTTTTGGCCCGCGGCCAATAAAGTTTGGGAACCCCTGCTCTAACTGTATTCAATAGTAATTTCTTAATTAAGACTGGGGGAAAACTAGCGCTGGGAAGGTGAAAGTATAAATGTGAGTTCGTTTTTCAAAAGCGAACCCGATTTTAGAATACGATAGTTGTCTTGAATTCCAAAATCGAAATTTTTTTTTTGTGCCAAAATTAGCTTTTTCATTGAATATTAATAATTGATGGTGTTTGAGTGTAAGAATGTTGGGTTTGTTAAAGGTGGATTATGGTTATGTTCAGTGCCTCATTGTTGTTGTGTTTATTCTTTTATTGTGTTGGCTTTTATTCGATCTTTCATCTTTGCAAAGGAATCAGTCATTTACTTTTTATTCTGAGTGAGTACGCGTGACCATGTTTTGGAAAAATCCTATAGGAAAAAATTTCTTACACTTATCTGTTCTCTGACAGCGCTGCGTTGCATAATTTCAAGTCCCGTTTCAACTGCTATACTTTGATATCTCGGTCGCAAGAATATATAAGCCTCAGCAGTTGTTTATGGTTTTCTCTTCGCTCAGAACTATTCCCACTCATAGTTTAGAGCCCAAAACCTTGTCTGGAAAATAATTTTTAAAATCAAATACATACTAATGAACTATTTGAAACTGAAACTATAGGCCGGAAGCCGAATTAGACACCAAATACCCTATCAACTATCTACCAAGAACTAGTTTTCGTATGTCTTGATCCCTTTTACAATTTGGTCGGTTTATTTAATCATAAATTTTGATAAATATTTTCAGAATAAACTAATTAAAAAAAAAACATTCCCGACTTGGAGTCGGATAAATAAATAAATCGTTCTACTTTAGAGGCGGCCAACAATCATGGTGCGCCGCCTCTTCACTTTGCTAGCCACGTTGCTAGCCTTGAGCTATGGTTGCTATGGGCATGATGCCTATCATGCTCTTACAATGAACGAAAGAGAAGAATGCGAAGACCCCGTAGGTAAGGATGCTTTGAGACTTACATAATTTGACTCTTGAAATTAGTATTTCTTTTAGTATAAGTTGCGGGAAGGGAAGAGCCGTGTGGGCAGCTGCCTTGGGCAGCGCGTTGTAGATCAGGGCTGGGCAACATACGACCCGCGGGCCGTGTCCGGCCCGCTGACTGTACATCAGTACATTATGATATAACATTATTACACTTTTAGTACATTATGATGAATTCATTATGTGTTTTTGGTCTCTATTTTTTATAAAGTTCAAACTTTACTTTAAACTCGATTTATAACTTTCTTTCTAGCATTAGCGAATAAATATGTGATTAGGATATTGAATACTATTCACGTAATAATCCGGCCCATCGAAGACTTCATTTTCCCACATTCGGCCCGTCGACTAGAGAAGTTGCCGACCCCTGTAGAGGGAAGCAGATCTAAGCTGTAGAGTTTTTGTTATTACATATGTTTTTTCTACATGCGAGTTGGTTGCTTAGTTTGATGATTTGATAAATATTACAAACATTTCACTCTTACTTGATCTTTAATTAACTCATTTATCATGTATATCAACATCTATAGTTTCTTTATCTCCCGAATTTTTTTTGTAGTTAGGTTCAAGGGACATCATTACCAGAAACTTGCCCATGGGCAACAAAAAAGTTTAAAACGCTACGGTGTGATTGGATGTTCTGTTCCACACAATGATTCTTTTAAGTCCATGCCTCATCTGGCTAACTAGTCAGACGAGAGGCCGTGGTTTGTCATATGACTAAGCCGTCTTAGTGGTTTTTCTCTCCATCGGGATAAATATGTAAATCCTATTCAGTTAGAGCTTCCAAACTTGACACCCGTCAGTATAATCAGTAGAGAGGTGGCAAGCTTGTTTAAAATGCTTGTATGAGCTTGTGTGATCTCAGTGATTTTAGTTCGGGTTGAAAATTGAATTATGAGAATGTCTTTCTGAGATTAAGCGCATATCTAACCACAATAATATCTAATCACATATACATGCGATTTAGATTACGTTGAGCAATGGCTAGGATTAGGTGAAACCGACACAGCACTTCCAACTAGCCTGAGCTTGATAAAACCTAATTGGGCGCTCTTGAAGTATTCATACCAAGATGACGCACAACATGAACAACCCTAATCTGGTACACATACTATGTTCAGGTTGTGCGCCATCTTGGTATGAATACTTCGAGAGCACCCCTAATTGTGCTATGATATATTCGGATTAGGTTTTTATAGGTTGAAAGGTTGAAAACCACTACCTTAATTCCATGGCAAATCCCAGCATCTCGTGTGGTTATCAGTCCATGCCAGTATGAAAATTTTTTTTTGTTTCAGATGCATGTATGTACGCGCTTCATCTTGTCGGGCCTTCGTTGCAATTTTCGGTACTTCCGTAGTGTGTGTGCCAAGTTGGGTTTAGGCCATAATTTTACTCCGATTTCCTCATTTTAGTTCTGTTACGAGTTTGGGGACTGACTGTCTATGTTAGCCAAGTGAATATCCCCCTGCCCATAGGTAACAGTTCCTTCGCACAACTTGATGTAAAATAAGCGAACAAAATTAGTTACCTCCATATTGGTACACACACTTCTGGAGCTCCCAATTTTCAAATTTAAGATATTTAAATTACTGTATATTTCAATTATTAACTTTCCTTTTTTCAACAGGTTCAAGAACGGCGAGAACCATTTACCAGAGCGTTGGATATGGAAGATTAAAGGCTTTAAACACCCAGTTTAATCCAATTAATTTCAGCTCATACAGGGGTAATGATTGCGTTTATTTAAGCGGAATACTTTTTCAAAAGTAAATCCGTTTATTGATACAAATTAATGTTTTATTGAGCACAAGCAATACTTAACATAAACAGTCCAGTTGTCACCACAAATACCAGAATATAAAAACAGACATAAGACACATGTTGCCATTGCTACACCAAAGTACTGAATAACCTCTGGATACCAGCATGGCAGTATTTATACCCAGGAAGCATGCTTTAGTGGTTTTACCCACAATGCTTCAGTGGTTTTACCCACAATGCCATACCATCATGCTGTGCTGTCATTGGTCAGTTAAATAGTGGGAAATATGATTAGAACGAAGTCATCCCCGAATGACAATCATCTGGACAAAATGTAAATGAGAACACATTTTAATTAAACTACCGTGAAATATAATTAAAACCCCGTTTTCATTCAAGTAGTCAACTGCATTTTATAGACTATAACTAGTGAAATACAAAACAAAGATATTTAATGGAACAGGCGCTCAGGAAATATCCTTACCAAGATGGCGCACAACCTGAACAACCCTAACCTGGTACACATATTATGTTCAGGCTGTGCGCGATCTTGATAGCAATACTTCGGGAGCCCCCGATACATGAGTATAGACTTGTTCCGAGTGGGATATCCACAGAGAAAACTATCAAATTCAAATAATGTTATTCTTGTGTATTACTGATTGGAAATAATTTATGTCTCGCAATCGGAATGTTACAGTAACATTGGCGATTTGGAATTAAGTTGGTTCCTGAATGTTCAAATTCAAACATTCACGGATCTATTGAAAAACAATATATGCGATGTGCTATATGTCTATCATAAATTTGCCTTGATTCTGCGTTTCATTTCGAAACCAGTAAATCCTATGCATGTTTCCCCGAGCATCAACTTCCTTGTTTATTTCCGTAACAATCACAAATCAGCAATAAGTTAACAATGACGTTACAATTGCAATTTATACCGCTGCTCAGACATTTCTTTTTTCGCTCAAACAGATTTCAAGCGCGGCTGTAAACATAGCCTTTATGGTAGTTTTGCGTGGTATTTGTCAGTTTTAAGTTGTGTTTAAAAATAATAACTGTAAATCAAATAACTTAATTGTCATTATGTATTCCAAGACCTTTAGTTTAGTCAAATACAATAATCCAAAATTGATACCGCAAACCCTGCGATAGACTAGCCTAAAATTAGCTATCCAGTGCCTATGAGCGGCACGCGATTCATTGTTTTAAATAAAAATGATAGTTTTGAACATTTGAGCCAGTTTGTAAGCGCCAACTCCCCCAAACACTCCTCCAATCATCGTTGAAAATTTTGCAATGATAAAGTACAGGGGTCGCGGAAACGTCCATACACATTCGATCCTAGGGTCTGAATTCTGTCAATTGATCAACATATATCAATCATTTCATCACCAATTGTTTTACTTTTTATCTTCAAGGTAAAGTCCTGATGATCATCAATGTTGCGACGTACTGAGGTTCAACATACCAGTACCGTCAGCTTAATGCACTGCAAACTAAATATGGAGAAAATTTCCAAATCCTCGCTTTTCCTTGCAACCAATTTGGGCTTCAGGTAAGCTTTTTCCCTTTAAGCCTTACAATTCCTGGGGAAATCGAATATTTCGAATATTTTAACGAATTGTCGAATATTACGGAACGCTACGCATTCTAATGTTAGTAAGCTGCATTTCCGACCCGTCCTCTTTTTTTCGCACAGACCAATCTCGCTCTGTTTTCAGTCTGCTTTTTACTAATTCCAATTGAAGTCACCCCAACTTTGCCTGCAGTATTGTTTGCATTTCATAATTCTTTATTTATTCAGGAACCAGGAGGAAATCACGAAATCCTAGCTGGTATCAAGCATGTCCGTCCTGGGTATGGATATGTCCCAAACTTTCCTGTCTTCACAAAGATTGATGTAAACGGGAGAAATGAACATCCCATTTATAAATATTTAAAGGTGCGTATAAATTGTATCAGTGTTCATATAATTGTGGTGAGACTGAGATTGTTTTATTTTTTAGACACGTTTATGGGCATAACGATCAATTTGTCATTGTGTTGTTGTTGTTGTTGTTGTTGTTGTTGTTGTTGTTCTTGTTCTTTGTCCCAGATAAAAAAAAATCGCCTTTCTCTTTAATTCCTGGACCAATCGCTTCGAAATTTTAGTGCTTCATTTCAAATATTCCGGTGAGCTGTATGGGATTCTTTTTTGTGTGCTATGACGTCATCAAAATTTGCCACCATGGGGCGCTACGTGTCCATATATTTCAGCATAGCTCTCTTGTTTTATGTTGTCTTGGTACAGGAGTTCGTGGAATTGGAGCCATGATCCAATCGATAGGATTTGATTATTCTTGGTTGACTTCGACTACATCTGTTCACATGACCTTGTTTTAACCAGTTGTTTACTATTCTTTTCTGATTGCTGCTAAAGCCTATTTGTTCAAATCCGTGCATTTTTCTGGGAAATAAACTTCGAAAATTCATTGACGTCACCACTTGATGTCATATTTAGCATTTTACATATTTGACATAACTAAAATTAATTGAAAATGTCATGGTATCAGATAATATGGCGTCATAATACATGTTTCTAGTTGTGAGTTGGGTTGGACATAGTCGAAAATTTCGATGTTTGACTTACAGAAAATATTCAGTGTGAAAGTATTAAAATCATCTTAATCAAGTTTACTGAAATCATTTTATAGGAAAGAAAAATGCTACTTCATATTCACATGGCCATTCACTTAATAACTTCCTTCATTGGAAGTTATCGATTCAATTAATTTATTTTTGTTTCATTTCAGTCCAAATGTCCGCCTACACAAAGCGATTATTACACAAGTCGACTCCACTACGACCCCATCCGGCCAAACGATATTGAGTGGAATTTTCACAAATTTCTGGTAGACAAACGAGGACACGTTAGATTGTAAGTTTTTTTTGGCGCTCCATAGTATGTGCACCAAGATGGCGCACAACCTGATAACCCTAATCTGGTACACGTCACATACTATGTTCAGGTTGTGCGCCATCTTGATAATTTTCAAATATCTGGTGATTTCAGAATCGAATCAAAATTCAAATAGTATGAAGTTATGTATTGTAGGTGAATTTTTGTTGTAATAGGTGTCCTCTCAACACATGAATTACTGAAAACATAAAATTTACCACTCACACAGTTCGCTGAGCGTTCACACACGATAAAAACACAAAAAGAGTTGTATGTCCGGATTGCCTATTAAAAATATGGCTTCAATAAAATAGAGGAAATCACCTCGATCTATACCGGACAGAAATAAAACAAGATCAAAGTTTTTTCTTGAACCGATTCGAATAATTAAATATTCCATTTGATTTGAAATGCCCAGCCCAAGTCACAGGCCTACACTATAAGTTACGATTATAAAATACTTTTCCGACTTTATTTTAGAATCTGGTAATATCTTTGCGTCCTATTTTAACATTTTTATTTTATTTATTTTTTATTCAGTACCTACAACCATGGAATACATCCACAAGATCGCAAATTTATCAGCGATATTGAAGCGTTAATAAGAGAATAAAGTGAATTTTCATCTACATTGTTGTAGAACAGAGATAATTGTTGGTTCATAATCATTCGTTTATGCTATTGTTGCTCATTCAAAATATTGAAAAAGGGTAAAAAAAAAATTGGACAATATTTTTTTAATTTTCCCTATAATTAAACTAAAAATATGACCCAAATAATATACGTAACCTAGATGGATCGTGCTCTTATATCACTCTGAGTTATTGGACGAATTCGACTCGAAAATACAATATCAAACCTCTTCAGAAACTCTATTTCCCCGAAGCCGTAGCCAAATCAAAAAGCCTGGCACATTCCACAATTTCTTTCTCAAGTGTAAAATTAACAAACAATAATCGACCCAGCGCATTTGCCAGACTCCAAAATGTAATATTTTACTTTTTCATTTATGCTTTTAAATATGAACTCTCCATTTTTGTGTTTTATCAATTTTTCAAAGAAACCGTATTTTTATTTTCTCTGGCTGCACAAATCGTTGTTACTTGATGAAGGAATCGATGGAAACTTCTCTCGAGTGATCGATTCTTGAAATATCGGGTTCGTTCGTCTCTGAAAGGCAGGTTAAAACAAAAATAAGATCTCAGTGCATTAAGGGCCTGTCTGGAAGATATGAACAACCGATAGTAACATGTTTTGTGTAAGATTTTGAAGTAAAAATACAAGTTGTTTAAATGATTAAAAAAGTTGTATTTACGTGTTTTGTTGGGACGGGTAGATAAGTTCACACAGAGGAATTTAAACGATTTCATTCAATTTTTTTCTGTGTTGATTGCGATATTATCTCGCAGTAGCGATAGGCCTGGAACAGATTATCATGGTGAAATGAGTTTCAAATCATTCATAGATGGCAGTAAAGAGTAGACGTTTTCATATTTTGCCAAAACGATATTGAGTCACGACGATATTTAACAGATATTTTGTTAGGTTGGCCACCAGACACACGGGCATAGCTGGGAATTTTTAAAAGGGAAGGGGTGGAGGTTATAAAATTTGTAATTGGCAAGTTGGAACAGCTACCGGGCCAAGCCGGAGGCCGGAAAACGTAAGTTTTCAATAGTCTTGGAGGCTACATTTCAAGCTACGAAAAATTGCTGTTGTACCGAATTTTTTTACTTTTCAAAGAGGGGAAGGTTCGACCTTCACCCCTCTGGCTATGCCACTGACTTTAACGTTCGACTCTGACTACAATATCGAAATATTGGGAAATTTATCCGTAATAGAATTCGTAATAGAGGACAACTCTCAAACTGTCAAGTTCTACTAAAACCAATTAGTGGACACGAGATGGATCGCTTTGCTAAATGGTCAGTCCTATGTCCCTTGATTAATATACATTCAACATTTGGAGTTTGATTTATGGGAACACTTTTTTGTGATGTATGGGAACAGTTTTCCGTATTTGATCTTTTCTGCAAACTCGATGTTCTACCAGACGGGTAAGTACGTTCCGTTGGGCGACCTTTTTTTCCATATAGTCACGCTCTTTATTTTTGTCCCATGCTATCCACTAACACTACCAAAGAATAAAAATCTCACAGCTCTCACAGCTGGACGTAGATATTCTAATTGGTAGATCGAAATAAGTCAGTCTAATGTCGCACGTGCGTACAGACAGCCTGTCTGAAACAGACAACTTGGTAACGCATTCAAAATCCTTTATTCACGTTAAATTACGCAACATTGTTTAACAGTGAACATTAAGTCATTTCACGACATTTACTTGTCACGGTTTCTTTATTGTGATTGATCAAATATCTACCGAAATATTCGAGAACTTTGTTTTATTATAACATCTTGGATCAATATTTGATTACACAAAGCCCGGCTCGATATCATAAAATAATATTCAAGCTATTATCGAGGAGCAAAACTCTTACATGTTTTGGTGCAAAAAGGTACTTTGACAGGTTCTACTCTGGAATATGAGTTTATAATACCTCGGTGTAGCGGTGTATAAGATTTGAAATGATTCGAAGTTCAAATTTCAAGTCTTATATATTTGGAGATCTCCCCGGTCCTGTCACAAACCCGAGTCTGGAGATGACTTACTTATGACATTGGTCAACAGAGATGAATCCTGGATATGTATATATAGGGTGTCCATAAAATCTTAAAATTTTTATAAAATTGCAAAGGGAAATTGTTGATACCAAATATTGTTTTGGCCCCCGCAGATGTATCAAATGAAGTAAAAATACTTGAACAATTACTAATAAAAAATAACAAACCTGGTCAAGATATATTGAGAACTGACTTCATAAAAACATTGAAATTGTAAATGGACTTTATGGAAAACATGAATATCCGGTTTCAAGGTTTGTATGCTATATCAACTAGACGTGAATAAGAGCGTATTTGACGAAACGATTTTGTTTCATAAATTGTTGTTTGAACGTAAATACTATCAGGGGACATAAAAATCACATTGGTTTTAGTCAATTTACAATCATACAAAAAAGCTGTTATAACAAATGTCACCATCGAAAAACACTGCTGGTATGCTATATGCAATCCACTCGGTATTGCTAACTAACTCGTAAGAAAAGTGTACATATTTTTAAATTGATAAGCTTCTGTTTCGCGTTTTAAACTTTTTGAATGTTAAAATTATTTTTTCAACATTTTAAGGGTATTTAATGCTATTTAAACCAGTATTTATTTACTTAAATTTGAATATTTATTTGAAATAAAAAACGCCTATTCGCATATAATATATGTTGATAGCATATTAACGAGAATCGACGAAACTCTTGTTTCTCACTCGTGGTTAGTATTTATTTTAATAAATTTAAGAAAATATTTCCAATTGTCCAAAACTTCCATTCGCGTTTATGATAAATCAATTACAATACTATGGGAATCATAAACAGCCAGGGTTTTTATCATACCGAAGATTACTGTCTTCCACCTTCAAGTGAACATAAATAATACAACCTTTTATCGTTCATATCCTAATATGTACGAAATTAAATTTTCCAATAAAATTGTCGACAAATTTTAAATATTAGCTTTCTTAACCAATTATATTATAACTTAGTGGTTTTGCGATTAAGGTAATTATAGTATTTGAAGATTCCCGGTAATGACTGAACAGCAAATGAGAGACGTTGTTTTACTGGTAATTTAAAGGGAAAACAAACTGAATTTTCACTATCAAGCCATAATGAGTTTATGAGCCTTCAAAGTTTACAACACCGTATAATGAATAGGCTTCGAATGATTATTTAAAAATGTAACATTACCATCTGATTTGATAATTGCACAACTGAACTTTAGAATTACCATATAAGGGTTAAAATTTTGAAATCAATTATTCAATTTATATAATTTAATAACATACCGGCAAGTGTAATATATCGATGATAAAAAAAAAACACAACCGGTGTTAGCAAAACGATTGAATTTGCCGACGTTTCGAATTTCTATTGCCATATCATGCCCTGATGAAGTTTTTTCTGAATAGAAAATCGAAACGTTGGCAAATTGAATCGTTTAGCTAACACCGGTTGTGCTTTTTTTTTTATCATGGGTATGAATATACCTGGTGGCAATCAGGCGTTATATAAGTGTAATATGTTTGCAATACCTTGCAAAATACATTGCTGTTCATCTTTTTAACCTTTTTGGAGCGCTGATTTAGAAACACCGTGTAATGAATCAGCACAATACAGCTTCGAATGATGCTCTATAAATGTAACATTCAAATCTGATTCGGTAATTGCACAACTGAACTTGAGAATCACCATAAAAGGGTTGACATTTTAAAATAAATTATTCAATTTAAACAATTAAATAACAAAACTGTAATATGCTTTTTATAGATAATTACGATATAACATTGGTTGTAACGGAGCTCTAAGTAGGTCTGGATTTGCTGCTTGAAATTGAGTTTGACTTGTCTTGGCTCAGAAATAAGCGATTTTTTCTTTTTCTTTTTTGTGGTTATCATTCATGCAAAACGGGTAGATATTCAGGGAATACTATTGGGAATACTATTGGGATTACTATTAGACTTTGGGATTCTAGACTAAAGTGTCGTTTTTGAGCTCAATTTCAACGCTCAAAAATCCTTTGGACCAATATTGGGGATAAATACGAATGAAAAAAAAGTTGCGTGGTGCTGAACTCATATTGTTGAAATGGGAATGCAGCGGAAACTTGTGACGTCATAGATTTGAAAACTCCAGATTTGATTGAAAATGCTTGCTAAAACTTATTTAATGATCAACACAATATCATCCGGTTCTAATATATCCAAAATCTTTTGAAAATCAAAACCAGGGACTAAATATATGTATCTATGATAAAAATAAAATAGAAATGATCGAGATGATTGCCAGTTCGTTTCAACATAAAGTTTCATTGACTCCATTTGTTTTGGGAAAATGATAATTATGAAGAAGAGTTCCATAATAATAATAACATTCTAGAATATTATTAGCAAATGGTATTCATAACAACTCCAACTGTGCATTTCGAAGTCTAAAATAATATAATTATGGGTCGGCGATGTGGTGCATCGTGCTGGACCCCTCGCCGCCGTACAGTGGTTCACGTAACCCCTTGTCGGTTACGGCTTCCTCCACCATCAAGTTCATGCTTCCAAAAACAAATAACTGTCTAACTAATTCCATACTAGAAGTGGACTCGTAACCAGACGTGCGGCTATGGTTCGCTATATATGATTAAGCTGTTTTATCGGCTTTTCTCTTTCCCGGTAAATAAATATGTAAATTATATGTTGAAAAAATATTGAGTTTTTGAGCAGTGTTAATTGTTGTAATCAAAATTTGTAATTATTCGCTCATTCGACGAAACAGACAATATTTTAGCGGTTTATAATGACGAAAATTATCGCGATTAGCGTCCAATTTAGACTTCTATGAAATTTTTAGTCCCTGATGAAGCGCTGAGCTTGATAATTAAAATGTATTCTGATTTTTTGTTCGATAATTCAAGCCTTCTTGCAGTGAACCAATATGGTCCTCAGCTTTTCATTTCAGGGAGTGTTCCTAAATTTAGGGGTTGGTAGTATATTTTTACATTTATCGGTAAAACAATTTGTAACTTATTGACTGTCCATCTGCACTGGTATGTACGCCACTTTCGGGATGTTCTGGAGAGGAAATTACTTCTATGAACAGCTATATACTTGAACCTTTTGTAGAATTATTTCACACGATTCTAAAAGTATTTCACTTCGCTTATTGCGTATTTGAAGACAAAGAAATATAATTTTGTTATTAAATTTTACTTATTTTATTTTTCATTTTTTATTTCATAAAATTGCAACAAATAGAATGAAAAAAATATGAAACTCAAAACAGTCGGTAAATATATAACAACAACGTAACAAAAATAAAAAATACAGAGAAAAGGGAAATAACGAGAAATGAAAAACGACAAAACGTTGTCGTATTCGATCTTAATTTAAATTTGAAAGAACATATTACTGCAGATAAAAACAAAAAATGACAGTGATTGCACATGCAGTTATTCAATTTAGAGCAACAAGAAAACATTTTGTCATGACAGCTTGAGAAGCTAATCAAACGTAGCAGTATTTTTGGGCTTTTTCACTCTTTTTGTACGTTTTTGAAAGTCTTTTGTTGTTTTTTCGCGATTTTCACTGTTTTTGCACGTTTTTACAAGGGATTCGGTGGTTTTTGACGGTTTTTCACTGTTTTTGCCTGTTCAAACGTAGCATGTTTTTTTGTTTGTTTTCACTTTCACTATAAACAAATTTTTAGGAAAGCAGTCAATGATAGGGATAATTAAGGGAATATTCTAGTGGTGGATTCAAAATTTAGACCGGGTTCTCTTTTGTATCAAACTCATTAACAACGGGTTCCATTATTTCAGAAACCATGCCATTTATAGCTTAAATAAATCAAGATGTCATGACATTCCTAGAACGGGTTCGCTTGAGCCCATGGGGACACAACAATTTCTACCACTGATTTTAACCATTACGCAATCTGTTCGACTTATTGTTCTCGTGTTATTGCGGCAAAATGTGTGATATCTAAACGATCATATAAGCTCAAATTTCCTTGAAGCAAATGTCCAGTCATAACGTAACCGTTCTGTAAATCATTGTGGCAAGCTGTTGATAGATGAAGTTCGAATTCTGGGTTTTCTAAACGTTGAAATCGACCGATGACACTTAGACTTCCGTCTACGTATCGGATGACCTTTGACTCCGCGGATTTCGTGTAAGATCCACCGACGCTTCTTTCAGTGACAATGCAAAGGCTTTCCCAACATCTGTAAAAGAAATATAATGTTCAGAAGGGTTGGGTTTTATTCTTATTCAATCGATGAAATGTCCAACTTGCGTACATGCTTATGGGCTGGATACCCCAGTTACCTTTCAAGACTTAGACTTTCAAGCTTACTAGTGGTTCAAGTCCAGTATCAGACAACGACCATTCATGATTATATTTCCAGCCAGTGGAAATAGTCTGTTCATAAACTACACTAATGAAAATATGACCACTTGTTCGAATAATTGAGAAAAGGGTTCTATAATAAATTGGAATGTGATACAAAAAATTAAACCAATTTCATTTTATTCTATATATATATGTATCGCTATTCAGCACATTGCGAAGGCGGTTACCGGACGAATCTGATTAGGTCGACTCATAACTTTCTATTTAAAAATTCCAAATTTAGAATCTACATTCCTCAGCACATTGCGATGACGGTTAGAGGACGCAGACATCGAAGCTTGACTTATCGAGGGCGAATCTAGTGTAACTTTCTATTTAGGGAATTTAAATTTAGATTTTACAGTCGTGTTATTTCAATAATAAAATGAAACTTACCGACTAAATTTGATTGTCCATTGAATTTTCTTAGCGTTTCTTGCCCACTCTTCCTCGGGAAATAAGAGAATTTCTGTGCTTGTCCAATTCGAAGGTGAGTTATCGGGAAAAACTTGCTGTCTTGTATCTTGTAAACGTGAATTTACTTCTTCTGATCCTGTGTATGATGGTGTGGACTGGTTCGAAAACTTGCTGTCATTTGAACTTGAGCTCGATAAAGTGTCATGCAACCTGAATCTATCCAAAGCTGAACAGAGTTCGTTTTCATTAACCCGTGGCATGGACTCATAATCGGATTCCCCGTCGGATTTCAAACTGTCAATACTGTTTATATGTTTCCGGATAACGTTTTTTGACTCCGGTCTGTTGATTTCTCGTCGTTTTTTAAAGCATTCTATTTCCAATTGGGCTCGTCTGTCTTCAAACTGGGACGGCATGTGGAAAGTAAACTCATCTGAGGCGGTAATATCACCATTCTTTTTTCTTCGGCTTGAGCGAGATCGGAAAAGCTTCATTTTGTTTTGTTGCTTAGTTAACGTTTAATTAATAATATTTTTCTGGAAAATAAGAATATTTTTATTAATTATATATATAAATAGTATGTTATATTTTATATTACTTATTACAACAACACCCTTATATATTACGGAATATTTTTTCAAAAATAATCATATTTTCATATTCAGCGTTAGTTAACGTTTTAGTTATATAAATAATGTATACTGTATTTTTATTACACATTATTCACGTTTTTATGAGTGAAACAATACAAGCTATTTATCAGAAGTTATCACATTTATAAGATGTCGTTACTTTATATTCATACACCAATGAAAAATGGTCCCATAAAACCAAACCACAACAGTACTCTAAAATCTGTCGGCATTTTATACTAATGTATTCATTTATTATTAACCTAACCCAACTTTGCGTTAAAAATTCAAAAATTGAAGCCTAAAACACCACGCTCCAAACGCTTAGCAAAAGCAGCCTCTAACCTCGAAGCCTAAGCTTGTAATACCTGAGTTCCAGCGAGTCCGTCAGTTTTATTTTAATTCGAGAGAGATAATTTCCCCGGATATAATCTCTCGTTTTTATTGCAACAGCTATTTTTCAGAATTACTCCATCTAATGACACCACATATCCGACTTGTCATTTACGCACTTAACGAAACTCTGTAAAATTACCTGCATTTCACAGTTATTCTGAGCGAGCACATTTATGACTTTGGTACTCCCGTAGTGTGTGTACCAAGTTAGGGTTAGGCCATAATTTTATTCCGATTTTCTGTTTTTTATCTATATTACGAGTTCGGGCCTATCTGTGTTAGCTAAGTAAATATATCCCCTGCCCATAGGTTTCAGTCCCTTTATTCAACTTGATGTAAAGTAGGTGAACAAAATTAGTTACCTCCATACTGGTACACACACTTCTGGAACGCCATAACTTTCAAAGGCAAAGTATCTAAATCTTCAGCTTAAAACTTCAAGATAAGTGATTTCATTACTCTGCGTATTCATACCTTTCGCTCAAAACAAGTCTTTGTAAGAGCGGACACTGATCTGTAACATTTGCTGAAAATGTTACATTAATCATTCTCCACGTATGGCTCACATGTAAAACATCTATAACTAAAAATTGGGACTAAAATAGAAAGAGGTTCAATGCAGTTGTAGACACAACTACCTTAATAAGCCCCATATGAGAGAATATTAATTTTACCCGGGTATTTCTCTCGTTTTATGGCAGCAATTTTTGCCCACAAAGAACTCATAGAAAATTGGTTTACCCATCCGTATGTCACTCATAACTCGTCAGAAACCAAATTTGCGTTAACGAACAATGGAATTATTGTTTCATCTTGCACGGGGTTCATAAGAAATTCGAGACTTTATGGACACCCTATATATTCGGCGAAACGCTTACCTTCCTATTATATTCACAAAGGAGGTTAAATACCAACGCAATAGTCATTTTTGTACAACAATCATTGACATCATGTTAGTATTTATAAGTTGGGTTGCGTGAGACTAACCCTATTCTTTCTCTGTTTCTTCATGCTAGTTGATTGGTATGCATATATTTCTATGATTTTGTAGCAGGAATAAACATGACAATACTATGCAATTCAAGAGTCCTGCTGCACACAAACACAAATTTATTTCTGTAACGTTTCATCCGACCAAAGTCAAATTTCTACGGACAAGCAGTTTACAAAAATCAACGTTACAGAAATACATTTGTGTTAGTGTGCAGCAGGACTCTTGAATTGCCTAATTCAGTATTCAAATCTATATTTTTGATTTTTCTATATATTTGCTACTATTGAAATATATGCAACCACTGCCAATACTTCATTTTCATTAATCGATAATGCTACAGGGCGCCCCAGCAGTATGTGTACCAACATGGGGGTAACTAATTTTGTTCGCCTACTTTACATCAAGTTGTATAAAGGGACTGAAGCCTATGGGCATGGGTTATATTCACTTGACTATAACACAGACAGTCCTCAAACTCGTAATAGAACTAAAATAGTGAAAATCCGAAGAAAATTATGCTCTAACCCTAACCTGGTACACATAGTACGGGAGGTTCCATTACATTTGAACCCACGTACATTTGAACCCATGACAATTGCACCTGTATGCTATTGCACCTATGGAATTTTTTTTGTTTCACGGATAGTTAAACCCATACTAACCCTAACCCATGGGTTTTAGCACCCGCATATAGATTGAACCCGTGGATATACGCATGGGTTCAAATGTACATGGGTTCAAATGTACGGTCACCAGTACGGGAGTACCTGCTACAGTACTACAACACTTACTTATTCGATTTTGGTTGGCCCTAGCATTGTTGGTCTCTAGTTTTAAATGTTATGCATTGCAGCATTAAAGCACGTCTTTTATAACTTTTTATTTCTGAAAAAATCAACCAGGTTCGGAATTTTTTGTTTTGCATGCATGTAGCTAAAATGAAATGCATAACAAAACGTGTTGTGTGTATTGATTATTATGCGAGGGGAATTCTGAAATTTTAGTTTTAAACGTCTGATTACAAGATATATGCAGAATTGGGAATTTCCTATTCGGTCTGTGATGCTTTCATTTTTGCTCGTAAATTAACGCCGCCAACTTGAATTGAACGATAAAATCCACGATAGATATTAAATTATATTTTTATCATTTAAATTGCAAGAAATGTAAAAATTTCCCGTCATGCTCGGTCACGATCGCAAGGAAGGATGGGAAAACAAAAAAATTCAAACAATTTTTTTTATTGTTGTCAATGGAATACTGATCATATTCGCAGAGGTTCAAACTTTTCAGCCATGAACTCAAATTGAAACCGGAAACAGTGTTATATGATGACCTGAAGTAGACTTTTAAATGGGAAAACCTGATCAATTTATATCGTTATTACTTTTAGCGGTAGTCTTCATTTTCAAGATAAGCATTTGGATTTTTCAAAATGGCCAATTAGCTTATTTCATTCAATGGTAAGCCCGGCCCAGTCCCGGAACCAACTTGAAAAGACAGACGTAATGCTTCAGTACCGAAACATAATAATAGACGTGTCTTAGGTTTCTAGTTTCGGGGGAACTTTTAAGTTTTCAACATAACTAATAACTATTTCTATTTATGCACGGCCATTGCCGCATGATAAGAAAATGCAGAACTCCGCAAATGATGAGTTATTACGTTATCGTCCCAAGGTAATAGGATTGCAGAAGTAATTGAAATGGTTACGTTTTATAATTATCCAATTTCACCACTCAGAGACGACTGGTTTATATATGGGTACACCCCCTCAAAATTGGTGTTCATTAGCCATCCCCTGTGTGGTTTAAACTTTCATTAGCGAATTTCATCACTCTGACACAGAGGGCTTGCATTCGGGTGCATCCCCTCAAATTGGTGTTCATTACCCGCCCCATGTTTGTAAATTGGAGCATATATAAATAGACATTCGTAAGCTTTTATTATCCGATTTCATCGCTCAGATGCGGTGGGTTTATATATAGGTACATCCCCCCAAAATTGTTATTCCCATGTTTGTAAATTACAATATTTATAAATAGGCATTGCCAGGATATTATTAGTCAATTTCATCACACAGAGACAGAGGGCTTGTATATGGGAACATCGCCTCAACAATGCTGTCATGGGTTGCCGCTAAGCTGGAAACAAAAATTATAACGTTTTTAATTAGATGATTTCATCACCCCGCGACAGATATGGGTACACCCCCCTAAAAATGCTACCATGGGTCGCCCCTCCCTCTGGCTGGAAACAGTAATTATAATGTTAACTTATTAGCCAATTTAATCACTCAGAGACAGAGGTCTTGCATTTGGGTACATCCCATCAAAATTGCTGTCATGGGTCGTCTCCAACGTCAGTAAAAGATACAAATGTTCAATTTATGTCAGATTTTTGATCCAACTTCAACCCGCAATATGTACATTATAACGTTTTTTTTGATAGCTAATTTCATCACGCCGCGACAGAGGACTACTTGGGTACATCACCTAAAATTGCTATCCTGGTTCGCCCCCTATTTGTTAAATAATACAGAATATTCAATGTATATTAAACTTTGTTTGAGTGTTGACTGAAGTAAATAAACTTTAGTTTTTTGGAGCTTCACACAATGTTTGCTCGGCCTACGCAACGTAGTGAACATACAACGAAACTCTTGTCTTGCTTGTAAAAAGCGGTCGTTCCCCCGGTTTGAAAATAGTAAACACCATTTCTGCTGTATACTTCACTTTATCAAGACTTTAGAACAGGCACTCAATTGGCGGACTGCGGTCCGAATCCGGACCTTTCGAGTGTTCGATTCAGACCGCATCTAATTATATATTTAAGATCAATGGCCCCCTTTGTATCTGTGAATGTTCCTTTTATTAATAGACTCTTATAGTTTTGAGGCTTATTTTATAATTTGCTCGTATTTGCATCTGACTATATATGAAACGAATTGTAGCCATAATAAACGATGCTATCTTGATCTGTAAATAATCATTAGCCGGTCGATTGCGTGCGCGTTTATTATTGTCGAAATAGAAGGGACCCCAGTAGTTTTTTTTACGGAGCTTTGTTGACAGTTGTAGTATCCCTGCTTTAGAATATGAAGTAAAGTGATATTTTGCGAGCAAAATTCCCAGGTTGAAAAATTACTAATGCTATTCTGCTTATCAAGACTCGACCAAGCATAATTTAGCTTTAAAAGTAAAGTATACTATTTCATACATGATATGACGTTTGACATTTAAAGTCACTTCCTAAATAACCGTCAATACATTCAGACTAGTTCCGCATGACCTAACTTTTTATTTGAAAATTCTGTCACGAGTTTCAAATTTGCCAATATGGAATGAAAAATCACCTTAATATTTTCAATACAATTTTTACCCGATCGACATAAAATTCAAATTTTCTCAAAAATTGCAATTTCAGACATTGATGCAATAAGGAGAAAAATCTGTGCGACGATGTCTGTTAAAGCGATGTCTTTGTCTTAGGAGAAATTGTAATAATTTGCTAAACTTTCCAT